ATGAAAATTGGGGAAGACGAAGATGAACGACTACTGTTCCCCCTGTGTTCTACTTGTGCAAAAGAGTACCCTAAAGGTGATGTCAACGAAAACTACAGCTGCCCCCACACTAATAAACAGCGAGGGTGGGTCAGCACATGTACGTCTATTGAGATAAACGAAGCCCTCAAGGAGGGGTATGTGGTGACCAAACTCTTCAGGGTTCTGGAGTTCAAAAACTATGACGACAAACTGTTCAGACCCTACATCAATGAATTTATGACCCAAAAAATTCACTCTTCAGGTTTTGACAACACCATCAAGGGTGACAAATTGAAAGAAGATAAATTTATGAAAGAGTGCCTGGAAATGTTTGGAATTAAGATTGAGAGGGAGAAAATGGCGGCCAACAAAGGGAAACGGACACAAGCGAAATTGTGTCTTAACAACTTATGGGGAAGATTTTCACTTCGTAACTTTGGACTCTCCCAGTGCAAAATTACTGACGACCCAAGTGAATACGTAAAAATGAGTAACGACCCAGCAATAACAGTTAATCATTGTCATGAATTGACTGAAGATGGGACTGTGCTTATCGACTACATTAAGAAAAAAGATTGGGTGGAGGAGCATGACTCATCAAACGTCATAATCTCGCTCTGGACCACATCAGCAGCGAGAATTCACCTTCTACACGCAATGCAGAAAGTTGTAAGGACTCCGGGGTGTGAGTTACTATACACCGACACCGATTCTTTAATCTTCATCCACCCAGACAACAAATGCCCACTTGAATTAGGGCCTCATCTGGGTCAGTTTACTGATGAGTACCCAGACTTTGATATTTTGGAGTACTGCTCTGGAGGAGCAAAGCAGTATGGTTTGAAACTTCAAAATAAGTCTACTCCCAATACTGAGCCGGACTATGTTCTCAAAGTCCGCGGAATGACACTCAACTGGGATGTCATCAACAATCAAGGTCTCTGCTACGAAAATTTCAAGAAGCAAGTTTTTGATTTTACAAAAATTGATAATATTCCAATTTTAATTAAATACCCAAATTTTCTTAAACCATCTATTAAAGATGGATCAATTATCACTCAACCCCTTACTAAAATTTATAAACCTTATGTCGGTAAGGGCATTGTCCGCCCTTCCGATTTTGTTGTACTAAATTTTGGTTATATTAATAATCGCCATCCTAGAATTTTATTGTAATTATAGGGGTTGGAAAGTAGCCAGAGGTACGGGCACCCAAACTCTATACCAACTATCGAATGTTGTGAGGTAATCCTCACATTGAAAATCGGTGGTTGCGGACTTGAGTATAAATTCTCACTTCCCTTGTTGAGTTCGGGCATGCCTGTCAAATGGCGAAGCCATACTCCTATCTATTACAATATTTCTAATTTTTTTTCAATAAAATTTTTCTTATTGTTATTTTATAAATAAGTTACACAATATTATTGTATTAATTTTATTCGTGATAAAATTTTAAAGATACAATTTTGCAAAAATTATTCAATAATAGTCACATGTTTTAGGGCTGAAATTGCATAATTAAGAAAACAAAGATACAATTTAAAAATAATAAAATAATTAAGAGAAAGAAGACATAGTTTTTAGGGGTAATTTTACATAATTAGTGAAACAAAGTAGATGATTTCAGATTTAGAGTAAAGGAGTTGCACTTTTTAGGGGTAAACTTACAAAATTAAGGAAAAGAAGATAAAAATTGTCAATTTCCTTATTTTTCAGTGTACACGCGTATGCAAAGGATGTGCGTGTGTTTTTGGCGCGTGTGTTGAGGGTGCGCGTAAATTTACCATTCATCTGGACAAAAAATCTCCCAAAAAGATGAAATTTTGTCAATTTTCTTAAATTCTTCGTATGCACGTGCGAGGGCGTGCATGTGTAGAGAGCGTGGTGCGCCTGAGTGGCTTGTGAGTGTGTTAAGGATGTTGTTGACAAGAAGTTATTACTTATTGTGATAGACTTAATAACATAGAAAATATTTCTTTTCGATTATTATTGAAGCCTAGCAACAATACTATTACTAATGTCTTACAGATAAATTGAAACACGAGAATAATCATTAATTTTAATATTTGTTAGATATATTATTACACATTGTTAAAAGATGTTCTTTTAGGAAGACCCTTCACATTTACTCCAGTGACTGTCACAGTAAAAGGTTCACCCCTCAGTAAATATGCTTTTCCTATAATTCCATCTAGAATGTCGTCCAAAGTATTATTATTAGACATTTCACATATTGGACTACATACATCATCATAAAATAGATCACAACTCACAATACAACCTAAAGTATCAGGCTCAATTTTGTTTTTAATGCCTTCTCCAATTGTTTTTTCTATACAATTCTGGATAATTATTCTCATGATGTTTTTGATGTCAGAAAAGTCACTAATTATCACATACTCAAATATTCCTTTAGTTAGATGGAATTTTGTAGTAGTTTTAAAGTGTTCATGTATCTTAATAATTTTCTGATTTTCAATTAGTTTAGCTAAGCTCATTCTAAAAATACAACTTAGTGAGAATGAATATATTTTACTTAAAAATTTTTGTTATAATGAAACTTTCTTCACACAGATGTTGCACGAGGTGTAAAGTAGTACCAGAGATGTGAAGTAGTACCATCAGACCTTAGATAAACTAGTTAAATTGGAATTTGTTATACAAACGTACTTTGTGGTGTGTGCACGGACCAATGTTGCATTATTCTCTTTGAATAAGAAATGGCTGAACCAAAAATTGACTGAATCAAAATTCTCTTTCAAATAGTTCACTTTTCTTATTTTCTTCTTCTAGGCTTTTAGACATGTGATGAAAATTTAAGTACAATTTGAAAAAATTCGTAAATATAAGTTTCAAAAATTAGAGGTAAACATACAGGATTAGTAATTCAAAGGTACAATTCACAAATATTAAAAAATTATTAGAAGGAAGGCATAGTTTTTAAGGTAAAATTATATAGTTAAAAAATAAGATGAAATTTGTTAATTTTCATAATTTTCAGTAGTTTTCTCTAACTTCAGTAGTTTTCTCTAACTGACCATGTTTTCTCTAACTGGCTATTCGGGCAGTTCGACTAAAATATTACAGTGCTGCTACGATGCGTGATATTTCAGACTGTGCGAATAATCATTGTGTTGTATAAATTTCATCCATTCCAGTGAATATATAGGCTAAGCAAAGAATTTGCAGGGATAAGGATAATCTCAGAAAAATTAAAAACAATTAAGGTAATCCGCGACAACTCTAAGGAAATTTAAAGAAATTTTCAATAAGCTTAAAATTAAATTTATTCAAATAAACAAGCATTACCCGTACAAAAAAATTATTTTGAAAAATATCTTATGAGGAGTAAACAAACTATGCTTTAAGTACGATACCTGCCACAATGACAAATAGATTTGCTTGTCAATCTTGTTCAGTTAAAATTGTTCATCACACCTTGTTTCTTTAAGTTATTACCGAGACAGTTCCTCTAATTAATTACAGGCTGACTGAATACACTTTATGATACTTCAATTGATTATTCAGACCGAATGCCCAAGCGGCTTTAAATTATTACCTGAGTCTTATCTATGCGACGACCCACACTATTCCTTGTGAGTAGCCAACCTGCCACTATGATTATGTTTCATAATATTTCGAAAAAATATTCAATTATGAAAAAACGAGGAAAATGTTTAAAACAATTTAAGAATGTGTTGAACATTTTCCTCGTTTTTTCATAATTGAATATTTTTTCGAAATATTATGAAACATAATCATAGTGGCAGGTTGGCTACTCACAAGGAATAGTGTGGGTCGTCGCATAGATAAGACTCAGGTAATAATTTAAAGCCGCTTGGGCATTCGGTCTGAATAATCAATTGAAGTATCATAAAGTGTATTCAGTCAGCCTGTAATTAATTAGAGGAACTGTCTCGGTAATAACTTAAAGAAACAAGGTGTGATGAACAATTTTAACTGAACAAGATTGACAAGCAAATCTATTTGTCATTGTGGCAGGTATCGTACTTAAAGCATAGTTTGTTTACTCCTCATAAGATATTTTTCAAAATAATTTTTTGTACGGGTAATGCTTGTTTATTTGAATAAATTTAATTTTAAGCTTATTGAAAATTTCTTTAAATTTCCTTAGAGTTGTCGCGGATTACCTTAATTGTTTTTAATTTTTCTGAGATTATCCTTATCCCTGCAAATTCTTTGCTTAGCCTATATATTCACTGGAATGGATGAAATTTATACAACACAATGATTATTCGCACAGTCTGAAATATCACGCATCGTAGCAGCACTGTAATATTTTAGTCGAACTGCCCGAATAGCCAGTTAGAGAAAACATGGTCAGTTAGAGAAAACTACTGAAGTTAGAGAAAACTACTGAAAATTATGAAAATTAACAAATTTCATCTTATTTTTTAACTATATAATTTTACCTTAAAAACTATGCCTTCCTTCTAATAATTTTTTAATATTTGTGAATTGTACCTTTGAATTACTAATCCTGTATGTTTACCTCTAATTTTTGAAACTTATATTTACGAATTTTTTCAAATTGTACTTAAATTTTCATCACATGTCTAAAAGCCTAGAAGAAGAAAATAAGAAAAGTGAACTATTTGAAAGAGAATTTTGATTCAGTCAATTTTTGGTTCAGCCATTTCTTATTCAAAGAGAATAATGCAACATTGGTCCGTGCACACACCACAAAGTACGTTTGTATAACAAATTCCAATTTAACTAGTTTATCTAAGGTCTGATGGTACTACTTCACATCTCTGGTACTACTTTACACCTCGTGCAACATCTGTGTGAAGAAAGTTTCATTATAACAAAAATTTTTAAGTAAAATATATTCATTCTCACTAAGTTGTATTTTTAGAATGAGCTTAGCTAAACTAATTGAAAATCAGAAAATTATTAAGATACATGAACACTTTAAAACTACTACAAAATTCCATCTAACTAAAGGAATATTTGAGTATGTGATAATTAGTGACTTTTCTGACATCAAAAACATCATGAGAATAATTATCCAGAATTGTATAGAAAAAACAATTGGAGAAGGCATTAAAAACAAAATTGAGCCTGATACTTTAGGTTGTATTGTGAGTTGTGATCTATTTTATGATGATGTATGTAGTCCAATATGTGAAATGTCTAATAATAATACTTTGGACGACATTCTAGATGGAATTATAGGAAAAGCATATTTACTGAGGGGTGAACCTTTTACTGTGACAGTCACTGGAGTAAATGTGAAGGGTCTTCCTAAAAGAACATCTTTTAACAATGTGTAATAATATATCTAACAAATATTAAAATTAATGATTATTCTCGTGTTTCAATTTATCTGTAAGACATTAGTAATAGTATTGTTGCTAGGCTTCAATAATAATCGAAAAGAAATATTTTCTATGTTATTAAGTCTATCACAAAGTAATAACTTCTTGTCAACAACATCCTTAACACACTCACAAGCCACTCAGGCGCACCACGCTCTCTACACATGCACGCCCTCGCACGTGCATACGAAGAATTTAAGAAAATTGACAAAATTTCATCTTTTTGGGAGATTTTTTGTCCAGATGAATGGTAAATTTACGCGCACCCTCAACACACGCGCCAAAAACACACGCACATCCTTTGCATACGCGTGTACACTGAAAAATAAGGAAATTGACAATTTTTATCTTCTTTTCCTTAATTTTGTAAGTTTACCCCTAAAAAGTGCAACTCCTTTACTCTAAATCTGAAATCATCTACTTTGTTTCACTAATTATGTAAAATTACCCCTAAAAACTATGTCTTCTTTCTCTTAATTATTTTATTATTTTTAAATTGTATCTTTGTTTTCTTAATTATGCAATTTCAGCCCTAAAACATGTGACTATTATTGAATAATTTTTGCAAAATTGTATCTTTAAAATTTTATCACGAATAAAATTAATACAATAATATTGTGTAACTTATTTATAAAATAACAATAAGAAAAATTTTATTGAAAAAAAATTAGAAATATTGTAATAGATAGGAGTATGGCTTCGCCATTTGACAGGCATGCCCGAACTCAACAAGGGAAGTGAGAATTTATACTCAAGTCCGCAACCACCGATTTTCAATGTGAGGATTACCTCACAACATTCGATAGTTGGTATAGAGTTTGGGTGCCCGTACCTCTGGCTACTTTCCAACCCCTATAATTACAATAAAATTCTAGGATGGCGATTATTAATATAACCAAAATTTAGTACAACAAAATCGGAAGGGCGGACAATGCCCTTACCGACATAAGGTTTATAAATTTTAGTAAGGGGTTGAGTGATAATTGATCCATCTTTAATAGATGGTTTAAGAAAATTTGGGTATTTAATTAAAATTGGAATATTATCAATTTTTGTAAAATCAAAAACTTGCTTCTTGAAATTTTCGTAGCAGAGACCTTGATTGTTGATGACATCCCAGTTGAGTGTCATTCCGCGGACTTTGAGAACATAGTCCGGCTCAGTATTGGGAGTAGACTTATTTTGAAGTTTCAAACCATACTGCTTTGCTCCTCCAGAGCAGTACTCCAAAATATCAAAGTCTGGGTACTCATCAGTAAACTGACCCAGATGAGGCCCTAATTCAAGTGGGCATTTGTTGTCTGGGTGGATGAAGATTAAAGAATCGGTGTCGGTGTATAGTAACTCACACCCCGGAGTCCTTACAACTTTCTGCATTGCGTGTAGAAGGTGAATTCTCGCTGCTGATGTGGTCCAGAGCGAGATTATGACGTTTGATGAGTCATGCTCCTCCACCCAATCTTTTTTCTTAATGTAGTCGATAAGCACAGTCCCATCTTCAGTCAATTCATGACAATGATTAACTGTTATTGCTGGGTCGTTACTCATTTTTACGTATTCACTTGGGTCGTCAGTAATTTTGCACTGTGAGAGTCCAAAGTTACGAAGTGAAAATCTTCCCCATAAGTTGTTAAGACACAATTTCGCTTGTGTCCGTTTCCCTTTGTTGGCCGCCATTTTCTCCCTCTCAATCTTAATTCCAAACATTTCCAGGCACTCTTTCATAAATTTATCTTCTTTCAATTTGTCACCCTTGATGGTGTTGTCAAAACCTGAAGAGTGAATTTTTTGGGTCATAAATTCATTGATGTAGGGTCTGAACAGTTTGTCGTCATAGTTTTTGAACTCCAGAACCCTGAAGAGTTTGGTCACCACATACCCCTCCTTGAGGGCTTCGTTTATCTCAATAGACGTACATGTGCTGACCCACCCTCGCTGTTTATTAGTGTGGGGGTAGCTGTAGTTTTCGTTGACATCACCTTTAGGGTACTCTTTTGCACAAGTAGAACACAGGGGGAACAGTAGTCGTTCATCTTCGTCTTCCCCAATTTTCATTGGTAAAACAGGAACGTCAATACTTCTCGGTGGTATGACGAATAATTTTAAAAGAGCAGTGTTGTAAGTGTTGTCTTCAGGTTTGGTCCAATTGACATCCATATTGATGACGTGGACTTCTGGATGCCCAACAGGATATCGAGTTGAGACGTTGATAAATGGGTAAAGGGAGGTGACATCGTAGTAAGAAATTTTTTGTCCATCCTCAGCCTTGTGGAATAACTTCAAGGGACCAGTTCTTCCCCCATAGAAGGCCTCTCTAATATTTATTGGTCCATCATCCAGATATTTTTTAAACATCTTCCTCATTTCATAATCTTTTGCTACCATATCAATGATTTGACACTCCCAATATACAGCCACTTTGACCCCCAAATTCCTAATAAAATTTAGACGTTTTTGGTCCTTCTCCCGCTGTTTTCCAGCTGTAAGACCTGTTGGAAGCTTAAGATCGTCGTCAGGATAGCATTTGATACATCCATGCCAGCAGCAACCATTGACTTCAATAGCCAATTTCTTTTCCTCAACCCATCCATCCAATTTATAATTTCCAATTTTCTTCTCCCCATTCTTTGAGTGTGCTGTCCTAATTGTAACGTTATTCTTCTCGCCATACCATTTCAGAAACTTGAGAGCAATTTTACTTTGGTTGTCGACGTTGTCGTAACCTTTTTCAGGAACAATTCCTAAATGGTTGGCTTTGAGGTGATTCATGCGGAAGTGCTTCATGCAGGCAGAAGCAATTGTCATAGCTTCACGAAGAACATCCAAGCCATTGGAGACTTCCAAAAATTCCGTTCTGAAGGCAATGAGCGCAGCCATGAGGATCTCCACATCGTTGATACAATATGCTGCTAGTTGTTCATTTAAGTTGAAGGGCTCATTTTTATGTTGGTCAAACCATTTATCGAACTGAGCCCTCTTTTCAGGCATCATCCCATTAGCAAGGTAATCTTCTTTTGTCGGAAAGATTTCTTTCCCATAATTCTTTGGGTTGTTGGCCAGGTGAGGGAAGAAAGGTTTGTCTTCCATTTTAAGAGCAAAGGCTGGTACTAGTGAAGCCAACGGCATTGGCATTAGATTGTATGTGTCTCTGAAGATGACCCAGCATTTTTTATTGTTCTTCACCTTCATCTCATACATTTTGTTACCTTTCTTTATCATTTCTGGGATTAGGCCTTTGAGATACAATGCTTTGAAGACTAGGACCATATCAAACCTTCCTCCAAAATGAGAGAAGGCTATTGTATCAGTAGAAAAATTAGTGATCCAGGTTACAAAATCAGCCAGAGGATCATTAGTAACATTTTGTTGGTCGACTTGAGTGTTGGAAAATGGTTGGTGGGAGAAGGTTATAGTTCGTTCTTCTCCGCAAATAGTACAATCGTTGTTTCCGTTACTAATACACTCGGGGCAGTTGATTTTTGCAGATATAAAATTCACTTCATGTAATTTCCCTTTTTCGCCTTGCCTGTGTTGCATGGTTTCAAAGTCAAAAGCGATGACTCGGTAGGGTTTTGGCTTCCTTTGAGTTAGAGATTTAATGTAACAACCTCTTTTTGGGTCATGGAAGCTAAAGCAGGTGGTGCAGTAACGTTCTGAACAAACATGACCAGTACGTCCATTCCGGTTGTTCACAGCAACATTCCATATAACTCCACATTTCTCACATTTCTTAGAGTTGTGGCAAAATTTAGATTTGAGATGATGGGTGTAGCACTCTTCATTATTAAATTCCTTAGAACAACCATTGCACCGTTTGAAGTAGTTATCTAAAGGCTGGCATGGGTAATTGGGTCCGATCCTGGAGCAATTTTGACATTTTGATGTGCAGGTGATAGAATGATCTTTTGGGCGGTTGTAAATTATCTCACATGATAGGCAATAAGGTTTACCGAATAAATCACTTGCTTTTCTAACTCCATCAAAATGATTATTGTTGTAATAAAGAAGAATTGGAGTAGTGTGATTTTCATCCCCATATTTAAAGATAGGTTTTTCATCTAATTCTCCAAAAATAAAAACTTTAAACAGGCCATCATTCCTTGAATTCCAATAATCAACCACCTTGGGTACCCATTCATTTGCATCATATGTTGTTAAATCAAGAGGAGCTCCTACATTTTCCATCAAGAATGTTGTATCATGTTCCAAACGTTTCTTCATTCCTAATCTGCTATGCATATAGTCATAGAACTTCCATTTCGGCCATGAGCATGTTGAAAATATAAAGGTGGCAGACAATGATCGAAATAAGCAGTAGTTGTCTGAATTAATAATTTTAATGAGGTTGTGGTCTTTAACTTTATGTCGAATTGGTGATGGATTTTTGCCACTACCATTAATAGAACGTGTTGTAGGCAGATGTTTTTTGTCAATAGCTGTAACAGAAACGGTAAATGGTTCACCCCATAACATTCCCTGATCCTGTTTTTTAGATTGGGCCACTTTTAGAAATTGGTTAAGAATTGAATCCACCGTGTTGGGAGAAATTTCACGTATTGGAATCCAAATATCTGATTCTAACAATTGACTGCTCACTGTACAGCCAAGTTGATCTGGATCAAGCTGATGACCATGACTCGTCTCCAATGTTTTGTCGATGCATTCTTGGAAAATTCCTTTTAATAAACCCTCAGGATCGGGTGGGATATTCGAAATTAAGAATTTAGTAGACAGTTTGGTAAGGTTAAATTTCCGGGTGATTTTAGTTTCTTCACCCAAATGTTTTACATAATCACCATCACCTTTCTGTAATAGATTATCAATGAAGAAATGTCGTGCTTTCTTCGAAGGTGGAGGAGACATTAATAATAAAATAAATTCAAAATTAGAGACTAATTCAAATGTATTAAATTTCTTAGAATTTTAAAGAATGAAGAAAGAAATGTGAAATCCTTTTTTAAGAAAATATTCCATAAAATAATTGATGTGTTGTAAAATAGGAATTTCACTGAAATTCCATTTCATTATTTTCCAGTCGCGGGAAAAAGCCTAAAAGAAATTTTGCATAAAAAAGCAAAAGAATTTGTAGAGAATAAAGAAAGAGCGAGCAAGTTTCGTAATAATGTTTAGTTTCGTAATAATACATACCTTTGTTTTTATTCCTTAGGATGTTGTCAAAAGAGAAATCCCTATATAAAACAATCTTTTTCTTTTATTTCCAGTCAAGAAGAGGAATTTTAAAAATAAATTTAACATAATTTAACTAAATAGGAAATGTTTTAAATTTTAAATAATATTTCGAGAAAGAAAATTAGCATAATATCTGGTAAAGAAAATTTTTAGGTATATAATTAGCAAGTTGTGAACGATGCGACGATGTTGTTTGTAGAATTTATTTTTTTAAACTCTTAATTTTTTAAATTATTAGTGGGTAATTAATAGAGAGGGGTAATTATAAAACTTTATTTATTTTCATTTATTTATTTTTCCTATTACAGTAATATTTTGTTTTTATAATTAAAGTCTATTTTCACTTTTCTACGCCTACTTTTTAATAATTTTTTGATCAATTTTTGCATGAGCTATTTTTTTACCTATTTATACTTTTTAAAGTTATTTCTATCTTCAACGTCTACTTTTTAAAAATTTACCCATTTTTAACTTTTCAACAATAATTTACAAATTTTTACAGTTTTTCTCTTGCATGACCTATTTCTAACCAATTTTCACTTTTCAACAATAATTTTGCAACATAATTATTGCATGACTGATTTTTACTATTTCTATTTCAACCGCCTACTTTTTAATAATTATTGTATTTTTTTAAGTATAAAGGGTAAAAATAATAAAATAAGATATTGTAAGAAAAGAAACTTAAAAAAAAAAGTTTAAGAAACAGTTTTAAAAAGAAAAAATATGGGAAATCTTGATTGAACCGTTTGAAAACTACTTATTGAACCCTAGAAACTTTGGGAAAATTTTTAGAATAAAATTTGGTGAAAAATGTGGGGAATGGTATGGTAAGGTGTTTTTTTAAAGTTCGCACCAAACCGTTTTGATCAAATTATCCCTTAAAGGGAAATCCTTAAACCTTTGGACTCTGACGACGGAATGGTTGAATGGTCGTTTAAAAATGTGGGAGGGGCTAAATGGTTGGACCCCGCTGCCCCCAACGACTTCTCGGGGTGACTAACTACTAAGTTTGAACTTTAAACTTGAAATTAACTTTAAAAAAGTTTAAGATTAAACTTAAGCATGGGAATATTAAAACTTGAGACCTCAAATTTAAATAATAATGGATTATTGAAGGGGTTTTGAGCCAACAAAAATTCCGAAAAAAATTTTTTGAAAAATCCATAAAATTTTTTTTTCATAAAATTAATTTTTAAAAAATATTTTTAGTTCCCTAGAATCCTACTCTTCCCTAACAGCAAATTCGTTAATGTTAAAAACAGCACTAGAAACTCCCGAATCTGTTGGTGACCAAGATGAGGATGAAGATGATTTTATATTAGAAATAAATTCATTACCAACAACAAGGGGAACAACAACAACCTCTCCCTCCCCTTTAACTGAATCAACAACAAGCAAACATCGACATTCTGGACTAAGACGGATTAAGGCAGATTTAAGGTGCTTCCTTATATTTTTGTATTTTTGGGGGAATTCAAAGTTTGAGATAAAAATATGTAAGGGGGGGGGGGGAGGGTGGAAAAATTTCAAAAAAATTTTTCGAAAAAATTTTTAAAAAAATTTCAAAAAATTTTTCAAAAATTTTAAAAAATAGTCAAAAAAATTTCAAAAAATTTTTCCTTCAAAATTAAAAAAAATTTTTTTTCCAAAATAGAAGAATTCCTTCTTCCTCTACCTCCACATACGAAAATTCAAACAGCGAGGAACCCTTAAATAATATATTAACAACAGCACCTCCCAGAAAGCTACGTTCTGCAGTTAATGTTGTTGCTATACAACAAGAACAACAACAACAAAATTTAAAAAATAATGGAGGTCATTACAGCACTCATCACCAACATCATAGGAGGAGAAGAAAAGGTGTTTAATTAATTAATTAACTTTTTTAATTAAAAAGAAGAGGGGAAGTAAGCGTTAAAATAAGCTGTGAAGGACCTCTCGGCGCAGGTCTATAAAATAGTCATTTTTGAACCTTGAAACTTGAAATTTTGGCCAGATACTGATCATAGTGTTAACTTTCTATGTTAAAAATTTCAGAATTTTTGGTCTTTTATTTCTCGAGTTATGACCGAAAAAGTACGGGAAGTAAGCGTTAAAACAATGTATAGGGGACCTTTTGGCGCATGCCTATAAAATAGTCATTTATGAACCTAAAGACTTGAAATTTTGGTCAGATATTTTTCATAGTGTTAACTTGATTTTCTGAAAATTTCAGAATTTTTGGTCTTTTATTTTTCGAGTTATGACCTAAAAAGTACGGGAAGTAAGCGTTAAACAAGGTATAGGGGACCTTTTGGCGCAAGTCAATAAAATAGTCATTTTTGAACCTGGAGACTTGAAATTTTGATAAGATATTGTTTATAGTGTTAACTTGCTTTATTAAAAATTTCAGAATTTTAGGTCTTTTATTTTTCGAGTTATGATCGAAAAAGTACAAAATAATCAACGAAAATGCGGATTTTTTGCAGTACTTTGACCATAGCTCGAAAAATGCTTTACCAAAAATTCTGAAATTTTCAGAATTTTTGGTCAACACTATTAAGGATATTTAAACAAAATTTTAAGTCTCTAGGACCTCTTTTGACATAGTTATGCTTTAACGACGAAGCATCCCTTTCTTTCCTTTTTCTGTCTATTTTCCTCTTATAAAATAAACTTTTTCCTTTTTTCTTCCAAATTTTCCAAAAATAAAATTTATAGTGATTGAGTGAAACTTGAAAAATATGTAAATAAATATAAGCTTTCCCTTGCCATTTAAAAAAAATTTTTTTGATAACAATCTGCGCATTTTTAAAATTTCTAAAAGTCATCATTCATGCGGGAATTTCTCTCCTTTCTTGTTTTAAGGAAAGCTAAGAGTAAATTTTGGTGGATAAATAAATTTATTTTTAGATATTTTGAAAAAAAGGGGTTTTTTAAAGGAGAATTTTTAAATTTTAAAGAAAATTGTATTTTAAAAATTTTAGAGTGAAAAATAAATTATTACAACCTTTCCGGAAAATTATTAATTATTACTACACTTTTCCGGAAAAAAGTGTACTCTACCATTTTTCTGTTCCTTCTCTTCTTCTCTTTCTTTTCCGGAAAAGTGTGTATAACAAATAATTTTCCGGAAAGGTTGTAATAATTAAGTACAATTTTAATTATAGCCCGAAAAAGATTAATTCTGACCAGAATTATTTATTTTTTAAAAATCAGAAAATCGATCAGAATTTTTTAAAATATTATTCTGTGCTCCTATTAAAGAGGTCCAATTTTTAGAAAATTTTTCCTAAAATTTTTTTTAATTTTAAAATTCCCTTATACCTCCTTCTTTCCCCTTCCTAATTTTTATTTTCCCCAGGCATTTCCGCTTTACGCTAATTTTTTTCTTCCTTTCTTTTTGGATTTTGATTATATTGTTGGAGAGTCAAAACCAAAACAGAATGATGGATAGTTAAAATAAACAATACTGGCATTTTAAAGAGAAAAATAATTTTTTTCGGAATACCGCGCAAAATTAGATTCTAATATTATTTTCTCTCTTCTTTCTCTATTTTTTAATTTTTAATTAAAATTAGGGGTCAAAATATTTTTAAAATTAAATTTAAATTAAAATAAATAGCTCTAAAAGTAGTTAAAATAGGAAAAGTTAGCGTTACTTAAAATACCATAAAATTATCAAATGATAACCTAGAGACTTGAAATTTTGCTCAATTATCTTTGATAGTGTTAGCTAATAATTCTGAAAATTTCAGAATTTTTGGTTTAGTAATTCCAAAGTTATAGGCAAAAGAAGGCAAAAAATGGGCATTTTTTGTGAAAATTTGGACATTTTTGACCATAACTTGTTTTATGTTTAACTTAAAATTTTGAAATTTTTAGAGTTGTTAGATAACACTATCAAAAATATTTTTGCAAAATTTCAGAATTTTAGGTTCTCATTTGGAAATTTTGTGACCTTTAATGTAACGTTACCTCGACATAACTATTTTTAGGTTGAGGCGTATTTTTTGGTTTAGTGGTATAAATGCGGAAATTAATAAATAAAAGAGTAGAGATTCGAATCTCTGACATGGAAAACATTGAAAATAATTATGGAAAATTCTAGAAAAAATTTTTTGAAATATTTTCTTCCTTAAAAATTTTTTTTTTTTTAAAACCAAAAAAAAATAAATATTTTTCAGGCTGCCCTTCAGTTCACGGCAAAGATCAATTGCTCTGTCCTACAAAGAATACTTATAGATATGGTCATTTAAATTATACTATTTTTAAAAATTAAAATATTTTTTAAAGAAAATATTTAATGAAAATTTGTAAAAAACAATTTCTGGAAATTTTCAAAAATTTTTTTAATTTTTTGAATTTTTGAAAATTTTTTATTTTTTTTGATTTTTTTCAATTTCCAATTCTCTGCAAAAAATGAAAATAAAACAAAAATACAAAAAATTATTTTTAAAAACAAAAATATATGTAGATGTCTGCATTACGCGTGAACAACTTTGCGACCGAATCAGAGACTGTCCAGGGGGAGAAGACGAGGACCCAAGGCATTGCTTTTTCTTCAGACCGGTTTGTGTTTAAAAAAAGATTTTTAAACTAATTAAATAAAAATAAATATACAATTGAGGGGAATAATACATATATAAAAATATTAAAAAAATAAAAATAAAGAAAAATAAAATTAAAAAAATATTAAATAAAATCTGCATAGTAAGAGAAAAAAGGGAAAAAGAAAACACAAAATATAACTTGGGAAAATCAGAATAAATAAATCATAGAAAAACACAAATCAGAATTTTATTAAACTTTCCGGAAAATACAAGAAAAATACAAAAACCAGAATTAAAAACTTTCCGGAAAACACAAATCAGAATTTAATACTTTCCGGAAAATACAAAAATCAGAATTTATCTTTTAAAAAATCAGAATATTAAGAAAATACAATTCTGGAAATAATTGAAATCAGAAATACAAAAACACAGAAAAATACACAAATAAAAACCAGAATATTAAATCAGAAAATAACCAAAAATACAAACCAGAAAAAATACAAATCAGAAAACAAAAATACAAAAAAAAACAGAACAAATAAAAATAAAAATCAGAAAACAAAAATAAAAAAATCAGAACAAATAAAAATACACTCGGAAATACCAGAAAAGAAAACACAATAAAATCAGAAAATACAATTAAATAAAATACAGTTGGAGTCTTCACTGAAGACACTTTCACATGCTGTTCTTCTACTTGTTGACACTGTAATGCGAGAACAAGAAGAGAATCAACATTTGGAACAACGCAACGAGCTTTGAATTTTTAGATTTTAAAGAATAATTTTAAAATAGTCTCAGGAGGCCATTCATTCATTTAAATTTTATTTTATAGTGCCAAAAATCAAAAAACCTCTATATAATCAACGCCCATTATAAGGTATCTTCAGCCAACCTGGTCAGAGAATATTCATTCACTTCTATAAACCCCCCCTTAATAACAACATCCCTCTATAGGCGACTCCCCTCTATCCCTTCGAGTCGCTTTTAGTGAGAGTTTGTTGTATAGAGGTTAAACTCTCATTATAAGGGACATTCTGCCTATTGATCAAGGAGTATTCATTCACTTTTATAAACCCCTTAATAATGACATCCCTCTATAGGCGACAGTTCCCTTCCCATCCCTCCGAGTCGCTTATAATGAGAGTCTATTATATAGAGGTTGAATTTAAATTAAATAGAAAATTTATTCTCATTGATCTCTTTCAAATATATTTTCATTTTTTCCTTATCATTTTATCGCTCTTTATCATTTTTTATCATTTTTATATTTTTCTCCTTTTTTATTGTGTCATTCCTCACCTCAGATTTTTAAAAAAATAATAAAAATTAAAAATAAACTCTCAATTTAATTTTTTCAATTTCCAATTTATTTAAAATAATATTTATAAAGAACAATTAAAAAAATTTTTTTCTTTAAAGAATAGTAAGTACACAAATTTATCAAAAATTATTTATAACCAATTAAAATTCAACAATTCGGATTATTTGATTTAAATCACCAACCACTGTCATAAAATGATGGAAATTGTGGTATCTTCTAAAATTATTAAAAATTAAAAAAAAACAAAAAATATAATTTAAAATATTCGCAAAAATTTGAAGCTTTGTGTTTTTTTTATTTCGTGAAAAACGGATCAATCCCAGAAGGTCAACGTCCTAAAAGTCAACTGACTCAACTCCAAATATTTGGGCAAATACTTTCGCCTTTTAAAAACCCGACCTCTTTAATTTCTTTCTCCAAAGAAACAATTTTCTCGTCTTTTTGCTTTAAACAAATATCGTTTTCAGCTTTTAATAGTTGAAATTTTGCATCAATAAAATTTAAATTTTTTTTGATTTGTTCAATTTCATTTTTATGGTCGGCATTTGTTTTTTGGATTTTCTAAAATTATTAAAAAATTGGAAAAATTTAAGAATGCGAGCCACTCACGAATATGGACAAATTATAAATCATTCGAAAGAGCTATTCGAGAGGAGTCGAATGACACCAAAATTACCAAGCGGGCTCAACTATGAGCTGAGATACAAGGGTCCAAAATTGTCAAAAACCATAAGGGAAACCAGGCTGATTTATGGGGTCAAAGTGTCGAAAATTCAAATAATATGTCATTCGACGCAACTCGTCGAGCTGAGTCAAATGACACCAAAATCTACACGATTGAACCAGATTGTGTAGGTCGGCTATAACTTTTTTATTATGCAAAAAACAAACAACGGGAACGGGTAGGGGATCATTGTGAGTAGTAAGTCCCCCACAAATGTATCACTTGAGGGGTCCACTGAAAAAGCCTGTGCCTGAGGTGCGGTATTTTTTCTTTGAAGAAGCCGCCAAATCCGTGCCTAGAGGGCACTTTTTGCGCGAAAAGTTAAATTTTGGTGCAAAACCCCTCCCTTTGGGAGGGGTTTGGATTAATTTTGCGCGAAAAAACAATGTTTTGGCGCAAAACCCCTCTTTTTTCGGGAGGGGTTTATAATTTACCGAACATTAGGCACAGGCTTTTTTCAATGGCCCCTCGAGTGATACATTTGTGGGGATAAAAAATTACAAATATTTATTTAAAATAAAATTCTTTAAAAATAAATTTTATTTAAAATTTTTTAAAATGAATGCGGAAAATGATAGGTTTGATCATTTTCTGAAAAACGCCTAGGAACGCCCCCTATTTTTTAAAAAAAATTATAAATATTCAAAATATTTTTTCAAAGGTTAAAAATTAGTTTAACAATTTATTTTTTTTACAAAAGACTTCAAAAAAATTCAAAAAAATTCTTTCAAAAAAATTCAAAAAAAAATTCAAAAATTCTAAAAAAAAGTTTTTAAAGGTGAAATGAAGCAATATAAAAGGGGGCATATTTTGTAAACTATTGTCATTATAAAAATTTATTTATTTTTGTAATAAATTATTTTAAAATTAATTTTAAATAAATTTAATAATGAAAGAGCTTATCCCAATTGTTTCCTTTTCTGCTACTACAAACGGATTAACAATATCATCCCCTAAATTAAATACTCCACGTTTTGTTCCCTTTGATATTTCTGGAAAATGTACAACCTGCCGAGCAGATGACGTGGAAATTGATTACGTCATTACCATAAAAGGAATTCATATTATCAGTAATAGACTTAAGAAGGAAAAATTTGTCGCTTTTGATATAATCGAGAGATATGGAGAGACCAACGTTTTTCGCTTCAAAACACGTAGAAAGGTTTTCAGTATACAAGTTGACAAAGAAAAAAATCTATTCCGGACTCAATCAATCAACGATGACTTTTTCAATTTACAATGCGCAACCGGAAATGGAAATTCCTTATTCCGATCACAATCAATTATTGACGAATATTTGGAATTTCCACCTGAAAAAAGATTGAAATTGGAAGAAAAGGAAAATGCAGAGAAAAATTCCAATGAAGGTATCGTAAAAGAAGATAACAAAGCAAAGTCAGACGAAAGTGAAAATATAATAGAAAAGGAAGATGACAAAAAGTCAGCCGGAAATATAGAAGAGCAGGATGACAAGAAAAAATCAGAATTTATAGAAGAGCAAGAGGATAAGGAAATGCCAGACGAATGTAAAGAAGAAACAATAGAAGAAAAGGAAATTTAGATAAATTAATTAGATACTTTGTTTTCATTTTTTAAAATTTATTTTCACTTTTAAATAAAATATGTTAAGCCAACTTGAATTATATCAAACCTATTCCAAAAATGATTTGAAATTGAAATTACCTTTTGGATGTATAGTTAGCGGGCCTAGTTCAAGCGGAAAGAGCACTTTTATAAGAAATTTAATTAGTGATGCAAAAGAAATGATTGACCCACAACCTAAGTCTATTCTTTATTGTTACGGAGAATTCAGTTTATTAGTTTCTCAACTACAAAGAGATGGAATTTCGGTGTATTCGGGAGTTCCACCAGAAGAATTAATAAAAAAGCAACAAAAACCTTCGTTAATAATTCTTGACGACCTTTTATATTCGATTGATGAAAAGTATCTTTCTGAACTATTTACAAAAAAGTCACACCATCTTGATTTTGGAATTGTCTTTGTCACGCAAAATTTATTTGAAAAGAAACTAAGAGTTGCTCGTCAAAATTCGATGTACTTAGTATTAACTCGAGCTCCAAACGGCGCACTATCTATCAGAAATTTGGGAGTACAATTATTTCCTGGAAAATTGGAATATTTTCTCGACGCATATCGACAGGCAACGCTTGATAAATATTCATATTTATTTATCGATATTCACCCATCTTCCGACACAACACTGCGACTTAGAACAAATATATATGACTTTTTGAAGCAAAAAAAAGATTCAGATAATTTTGAAACTACTATATTTTTACCAAAATCTAATTAGTTATTAAAAATGATAAGTCAAATAGTAAAAAATAATTATCAGTTCCTTAACCAATTATCAAAAACGAGATCAATAAGAAAGAGAAAACGTCTATTAAAACAAGCATCTATAGAACAATTGCTTTCAATTGCTGAAATTTGTCTAAATATTGTACGAAATAAATTTCAACTAACAAAACGACAAAAAGGTCGATTAGTGCCATATGCTGATTTTGTTCGTCGCATTAGTCGTGTAAGAACAGTACGCGGTGCACGGAGAATTGTCATACAAAAGGGCAGCGGTCTCCCCCTAGGGCTTTTTCCAGCATTACTTACACCAATAATAATTGAATTATCAAAAAATATTGCATCAAAATTTTCTTCAAATTAAATGGCTAATAAATTTATCCTTGTCCCAGAGGATATCTATCGAGGATTATTGACTCAACCATCTTCAGACACAGGAAACATTAATTTGGATTATACGCGAAAAAATTTGGATATTATTAAAAGACAACACGAGAACAATGAATTAAAAAATATCAATTACAATCAAGAATTACGTCGTTATCTACATATGCTAAAGGAGCAAAATCAAACACCAGCAGGCGTAGCCGTTCGTAAAATTGATAACCCAGCCCTTGATCAGATAAAACAATTATTGCCCCTAATTACTCCTACACAAAATGAGAATACAGCTGATTTAAATGTTACAAAACCATCGATAAATGATGAGGAAAAAGTAGTTACTGAGGACTCTATGTATACAGCAGATGAAGGGAGTGACGTGGAAACACCCAAAACTTCAAAGACACCAAAATCTAAATTAACTCAAAGGACTTCAATAATATATCATTTCATGAAGAAAAATTTTGAAAAATATAAAGTGAATAAAGAAGATAAAATTTTAAATGAGAAAGGAACAAAAGAAATTCTAGGAAGTAATGTTAAAAAATCCCTTGATTGCATAATACGCTCGGATTTTACTGGAAAGCATAAATGGAATGGAGTTTCACCGCCTGGTACTACTATTCTAGAGAAAAGATTGAGAAATGATCCCTATATTTGGCAATTAATTGAAAAAGCTAAAACACCAATTACACCAAGACGCATTACTCAGCCCAAAAGAATATCTCAAGGATTCAAATCAAAACAATCGTCATTATTTGAAGGAGAATGGAGACAACCAGAAGAGTGGATATAATACTTGATCGGATTTATAATGATCCCGCAAATCCCGCTGGGTTTGCTGGTATTAATCAATTATGGATAGAGGCAAAAAAGAAGGATAAAAGTATAAAAAAGAAGGATGTGATTGAATATTTAGAAGGTCATCGTACATATACAATTCATCGCCCTAGACGTGTGCGGTTCAAAAGATCAAGGACTATGCCTGCAGGTTATATGACAGATGTTCAGTGTGATTTGGCCGATTTTCAAAAACTATCTCGGCAAAACAATGGTTATAATTATGCTCTTGTTGCAATAGATGTCTTGAGTAAACGTGTTTTTGCAGAACCTGTACGAACAAAGAAAGGAAAGGACATGATCCAGGCATTTGAAAGTATTTTGGAAAGAATGGAAATGCACCCTCATAGAGTTTTCAGTGACAAGGGTACAGAGTTTACAAGCAAGGAAATGGCTGAATTCTTCAAAGCGAAAGACATTGAAAAGTTTACACCGAATTCATCAACAGTCAAAGCTTCTCTTGCCGAACGATGCATCCGTAATATAAAACAACGGCTTTATAGATACATGAGTGAGAAACATACATTAAAATGGGCTGAAGCGATACATAAGATAGTGGATGCAATAAATCACTCAAAATGTCGTGCAATTGGAGGATTGAGACCAATTGATATTAGTTTTAATAATGCAAGAAAAATAAGAGAAAAAATTTATGGACGTATAGGCTCTAATATAAATCGAAAGAAGACCCGATTTCAAAAGAATGATTTTGTACGCATGAGTCG